TGTATGGGGGGATGTGTGCCTGATAGCAGCTGCACCACTAATCTAAGACATTAAAGTAGCAGTAGCTGTGTGCCTGTTGGTTGACTGACTCATGGCCGCCTTAACCAGGCTGTAAGCTTCATGAGAGCACATCACCAGGCCTTTTCTCTCTTGGACTGCTTGGTGACTTTGAGCCTCCAACCTTTGGGCTAGCATCTGGGCACTTAACCATTGCTCCAAACAGGGCATCGTTAAAGGTGTACTACTTCTGAGAAAACAGCCACACCTTTAAAGTCCCATCTACCTCCACTGCCATCGAGTTGGTTCTGACTCATAATGACCCTGTATAGGGTTTCTGAGACTATAAATCTTTATGAGAACAGACAGCTTGTCTTTCTCCTTCGGAGCTATTGGAGGGTTTGAACCATCAATCTAGTAGTTACAGCTTAACGCCTAATCCACAGTGCCACCAGAGCTCCTTAAACCACTACTGTTGTTGGTTAGTGCTGATAAGACAGTTCAGGCTCATAGTGATCCTGTACAGTTTCTGAGGAGCTGCTGGTGGGTTTGAACCACCAACCATGTGGTTAGCAGTCCAGTGCTTTATCATACAATGCCACACCAGGATTTCTAAAACTACTACTTCTTATTGTTAAGTGCCGTCAAGTCGATTCCAACCCATAGCAACCCTGTACAAGATTTCCAAGGGTTGGCTGGTGAGCTTGAACCACCAACCTTGTGGTTCAAACGGACCTTGTGGTCCAGAGTATTAACCCACAGTGCCAAACCAGGACTCCCACACCAAACTACCACTAGAAATAATAAAAGCCTAGACTTAAGGCCCTTGACTGATGCTAATTGGCGATCAAGGCCAAGGCTAAGGTCAATGCTGTCGTTCGTTAAGTCCTGTCGAGTTGGTTCCAACTCATAGCGACCCCGTATAGGGTTTCTGAGGAGCGGCTGATGGATTTGAACCATTGATAGTGTGGTTCAAAATGACCTTGCGGTCTGGTGTTTATCCTACAGCGCCACACCAGGACTCCACTCAGTGAGCATGAAGCAGCTATAAAAAGTAATGTTCTAAAAAAAATGTATGATACCAATAAATGCTTATGACATGATGTGAAATGAAAGATGTAAAACCCACATATAGAATATAGAGTAGGATCCCGATTACATAAAAGACTAGATGAAAATATTATAAAATGGTAAGCAGTGATTATCTCTGCAGGTACGAGTTCTGTATTCTTTGTTATTAAAATTTCCTAATAAGCATTTGTGACTTTTGTTTAAAAAAAAAAAAATCATTAATATTTTAAAGACCAAATGTAATGTGTGATCTGCTTCAGTCCTCTGAGCATTTTGCAAATTTCTAATTGCTATTCAATCTGCTCTCCTCCTAGCAAGTGTTAGCACTGGGTGTGCTGTTGTGACCCAGGTCGATGATGCCAAGGTAATCTGAGTAAGGCAGGGGAGTGAGAGAGCATTTAGATACCACTTACTACAGAAACCGGTGAGTACGGTGGGCCCGTACTGTAAACATTGGACTGCCAAACACAGTGTTGCTGGTTCAAGCACACCAGTCACTCTACAGGAGAAAGATGAGACATTTTGCTTCTGTTAAGATTTACAGCCTCAGAAAACCTATACAGCAGGGGTGGGGAACGTCTGGCCCAAGAAATCTTTTGGTCTGGCCCTACCAAAGTAACCACAGTTCCAGCCATCACATTGCTGTTGTTAAGTGCCTTCGAGTTGGTTCCGACCCATAGCAACCCTGTATAGGGTTTCCGAGGAGCAGCTGGTGATCTTGAACCATTGATCTTGCAGTTCAAACCAACTTTGCAGTCCAGCTCATTAACCCATAATGCCACACCAGGACTCCTGCTATCATTTGTTGTTGTTGTTATGTGCCATTGAGTCTGTTCCAACCCATAGCGACCCTGTACAGGGTTTCTGAGGCTGTAAATCTTTATGGGAGCAGAAAGCCTCATCTTTTCTCTCTCAGAGCAGCTGGTAGTTTTGAACTGCTGACCTTGTGGTTCGCAGCCCGATTCGTAACCACTATGCTACCTCCTTAGCCATCACTTTAGGGGTGAATTCATTAAATGTTTGACCAAATATAGCTGGCTAATTTTTAAGTTGATAATTTTGTGTGTCCCACAAAAGATATTATAAATATTCAAATGGCCCTTGGCAGAAAAACGGTTCCCCACCCCTGTTTTACAGGGTCGCTATGAGTCAGAACCACTAGGTGGCACTTAACAACTAAAGCTGTTAGCCAGCCCTTGTCCCTTCTCTTATGGTATTATTTTATATTTCTTTTTTCTTTTTTAACAAACATTTTTGTCTTTGGCCATTGGGAAATCTTTTGAGAAAAGTAAATCTCAGAAAAACTGGACCCAAATTGAATTTTCAATAAGTTCAGGAAGACAGTGACACCAAGCTGTATGGGGGAGCCCTAATTTAACAATTCTTCATGTGGAAAAGGAGCCCTTGAATGATGTTAATGCTTAACATGTGTGTTACTAATCTGAAACATTGGAGATTCAAGTCCAACCAGAGGAGACGCAGAAGAAAGGCCTGGCAATTGACTGCGCAAACAGTCACTGAAAACTTGATGGAGCACAGTTCTACTAGGACACACATGAGGTTGTCAGGAGTGAGAATTGACTTGATGGCAATTGTTTTGATTTTTTTTTTTTCATGTGGAAAAAAGCTTGGTTGGCCCGGAGATTGCTCTCCTCTGTCCTACTTAAACTGTTTCTAGTAGATTGGCTTTGATTGTGGGTACCATGTTAAAAAAAAAAGTTATTGAAAACCTGTCCTCTTCAGGACACAAAGATGGTAATACTATTCCTAGGAACAGTATCAGTAGCAACACTACTGCCTGATGTGGTGAACATTTATCACTTGGCTGGTACTGGCTTAAAGCATGATCTATTATTTGATATTTAAAGCAACAATTACACAAAAAACAGCTTATTGAGACAGAGGAATTCAGTGGATAGAGCTTAATCTGTATAAATTTTCTGGGAAAAGGAGGGAGGAGGTACCCCAGAGCTTCTGCCTCCTCTGCCTGCTATGGAACCGGAGAAATTGGCTGAGAGCTGCGATCATCATGAGGACAGTTGTAGGATCCTTTCTATCCACAAGTGACAACCTGGCTTCCCTACAGAATGCTGTTGTTGTTGTTGTTAAGTGCCATCAAGTCGGTTCTGACCCATAGCGACCCTGTACAGGGTTTCCAAGGCTGTAAGTTGGTTCCAACCCATAGCGACCCTGTACAGGGTTTCCAAGGCTGTAAATCCTTACGGGAGCAGAAAAACCTCATCTTTCTCCCACGGAGCAGCTGGTAGTTTCAAACTGCTGACCTTAAGGTTCACAGCCTGATTTGTAAACACTATGCTACCAGAGCTCCATTCACTACAGAATAATCTAGGTCTATATTGAGAGGTTTCAGTGATGCAGCAGGTGTAGCTTGTGGGAAGTTGGCAGTTGAATGATCCAGAATTGGTAATGGTGGTCTCCCAGATGGTCCTCAGCTGAATTCACTTTCAGCAAAGTCACCTTCGACCCCCACTGGCCTGCCTCAAAGCCATGATGACTTGAGAGACCAAGCATGCATTGTTCAGGGCATGCCCTATAGGAGGCTTTAGAGTCACTGGGGGAATTGGGTCCCTTCTTATGGTTTACCAGGAAGCTGTGGAAGCAGTTGATTGGTTCTCACCAGAATAGTTCTGCCAATCAGCTGTTAGTGAGGGCCACAGCCATTGAGAAGGGCTACTTGTATGGGATTCTCCATTGGTCAAATGGGCTGCTTCAAGCTGATGTTGTTAGGATACCAGGGTTTTGAACTAGTTTTGCCTGGTTCAGTTATGGCTAATGATGCAAAATTGGAATGGACCTGGCTTTGTAAACTATAGCCAAATTGGAACAGTAACTGAAATGAGAAAAAATATGGGGTCACATCCTGCTAGAAACTTAAAATCCCTCTTAGAAAACAAGGGCAGCATGCACACCACGTAGCAATCAGATCTCTTGATAAGCTGAGGGGGAAACAACGGTGCCTTGCTCAAAGATGGCGGCCATATAAGCTACTTTGAATGTGTCACTCCTCACAGCCTGGCAATAATCCTTCCACACATATCAGACTCCTAAAAGGACTCAGTATTCCTACCTCTCACAGGTTTCCCATTGCAAGGCTTCAACCCATGTGTTTTCTCATTCTGGTTATCATTCCACTTAACCTAAATTTTAAAAACTCAGATATGTTCTGATTTCATTTTGTTGGCCATGACTGAACTGGTTTGAACTGGTTAGAAGTCTTGGATTTGCAGCGTATCCCAGACAAATTTATGCAACCAGTTATAAGAAACAAACAAAACAAAAACAAAAGCCAGTTTACCATCAAGACAATTCTGACTCGTGCCAACCCTGTGTGTGTCAGAGTAGAACACAGGACCCACAGGCTGGTTTTTCTGAAAGTCTATTACTAGATTTTTCTTCAGAGGCATTTCTGAGTGAGCTTGAACCTCCAAACCTTGAGTTAGCAATCAAGTGTATTAATAGTTTGTACCACACAGGTTTCCCTATCCAATTGTTTTTGTTAAGTGCCATTGAGTCGGTTCTGATCCATAGCGACCCTGTATAGGGTTTCTGAGGAGAGGCTATTGAGCTTGAAGTGCTGACCTTGTGAATCAAACCAACTTTGCAGTGCAGCTCATTTACCCACAGCGCCACACCAGGACTCCTATCCAATAGACTTCCATAAACACAGAAAAAAATACATGCAAACTATTTGTATTAAACATTCTGTTAAATAAAACAAAACCAGTTCATTCATGGAGGCATGGGGCACATAGTTAAATGTAATTTGTACATGTCTTCTAAAATGGCGATTTGTACTTTGAGGACTTGGCTTCTTCAAGTAATGTCCTTTGGAACATAGCTTTCTGAGAAGCAGATCTAAAGCTCAATAGTGAATCAGAACAACTTCTTCCTGGGTCAGAGTTGGTTCAGGGTCAAATGCTCTTGAGGTCCCCAAAGACTGTGTGGGCTGCATTGCGTCCAGCAGCCCCCATGACGCCACCTCCTGCAAAGGAATCTGCCATGAGTCAAAATTCTGCTAAAAAACCCAGGACAAACCAGAGGGGGCTGCTCAGAGTGTGGTGCTCAGGACGTGGGCATCAGAACTGTTGGACACAGATGATGGGTTCCCTCCACATCCAGGTTTCCTGAACCAAAGCAATGAAGGGCTTCTGTTTCAAAGTCTGAGAGCCAGTGTTCTAGACGGTGAGACTCTCGGCATATGAGATGTGAGCATGAGAGTTTGAGGGGATAATGTGGAAGCACAGACTCTCTGTCTGGTAGGCCAAGATCCATAGAGCTCCGAGAAAGTATAGTATGCAGCGGTACCCTTGGTGAGGCCAGTTAGGTATAGAATTGGTGTAGGGAAGAATTTTTAAATCAAAAAACTTTACTGATCTTTGTTGGTCTAAAGAAGAATACTGAATATACCATGGACTACTAGAAAAATGAACAGATCTGTCTTGGAGGAAGAATGTCAGAAGCACCTTAGAAGCCAGGATGGAGAGACCTAGGCTCATGACCTTTGGACGTGTTGTCAGGACAGAGCAGTCCCTGGAGAAGGAAATCATGGGGGGTAAAGTAGAGCTTCAGTGAAACAGAGGATGACCCTTAACAAGATAGCCTGACACAGAGTCTCCTGCTATTGTGAGGATGGCACAGGTACTGTGTTTTGTCCTGTTATACGTATGGTTGTATGAGTTGGAACTGACTAGATGGCACCTAACGATAACTAACACTGGTCTAAAATAAGGATGGAGAATTTAAAGACATGGGTCTCCCACAGCTCAATATTGACATTTAGGGAGATGCATCCCCTGGGACATCTCATCAAACCTCATGAGGAGAAGGTGTGAGTTCAACACAGGGCTGTGACCACCACTCTTTGTTTCCCTGGGACCCAGCTTTCTGACCTGAGGTTGTGGCTTGTTCGGGTGAGGCTTCTGTGTTTCCCTCTCCCCACTCTTCTCCCCTGTTTACTAGCCTCTGACCCTCAGCCCCCCCAGCCCACACAAGGTAGTGGGATTTCAGGCCACTCACCGGGATGGGCTCCACTTCCACAGAGATACAGGCCAGGGAGTGGACATCGATAACTGGAGTGCAGAGGCAAGGGGCGAGCAAAGTAGAGCTGGTCCAGGGACATGGCACAGTGGAATATGTTCTACGGGAGGCAGGGCCATAGTTGTTACCAGGAGTCTTACGACCTGTACAGCCCTGGGTCTGCTAAAGAGGTGTCCCTCTGGGTTTCTCTCTTCCCGTGCTCTCAAGGAAGGTTCTTAACTTTACAGGTCGCTTTCCCATGGTTAAGATGCAGAAAAGGGAGGGACAGACAGAATAGGCACATGAACTAGGACTAGGGCTGAGCTTTTCCAGAGGCATTTTTTCAGGAAGGAAGAAAGTCAGGATAGGAGCATCTTCAGAGTCTGAGGAAAGTAAATGTTCAGGGAAATCAGAAAGGGATTTTAAAGGTTTTGCTGTTGACTCTGAATTCCTCTCATCGTGTTTGAAGGATTTGGCTGCACCATGTTTCTGCTGGAACATATTTCTTTGGTCAAGACATCCATCTGAGACCAGACCCAAGGGTCTCCATGCCAGCAGGGCCACAGTAAGTGTGGAAAGGGGCCCCGGGACCCTGAACTTGCTTCCTTCACTAATCTGTGTCAGACTAGCCCCACACCGAGAAGGGGGAGCTGCCTGAGACAGCTCACGTGTGTGGCAGGACTGGTGGACATCACCAAAGAATGACCTTCTGGCTGCCTCCTGACCCCCCGCCTGAGCCCACCCTCTCCCACCTCCCCTGCTTCAGGCAGTGACATCACCATCCCCTTAGGCATGTGGGCCAGAACCTTTACTGTCATCTCTGCACTGTCAACTCATCTTCTCAACACAGGGGTATGACCCTGCCCCTCATGTCTATTCATTCCTTTCCTTTCCCTCTGTCCCTGCCTGAACTTCTTTATTCTATATCTGAACCAGCGCTGCTTAATAGAAATATAATGGAGATCACATATGTAATTTCAGATTTTTGTAGTAACCACATTAAAAAGCAAAAAATCAACACTGGTAATGTTAATTTCAATATTTAACACACTATATTTAAAATGTTATCATTTTACTATTTAATCAATGTTGGAATTATGTTGTATAATTATGTGTTGTATTGCATTTGGCAAATCTGTTGTACAAGACCTTTTTAAAGTATTGAAAAGCAAAGATGTCAGCTTGAGGACTAAGGTGTGTCTGACCCAAGCCATGGTATTTTCAATAATCTCATACGTATGTGAAAGTTGGACAGTGAATAAGGAAGACCCTAGAAGAATTGATGCATTTGAGCTATGGTGTTGGAGAAGAATATCAAAAGTACCGTGGACTAGAGAACAAACAAGATGGTGGATCGGGTAGATGAGCAGTAAGGAGCTCCATCAACAACAACACAGAATACTGGCCAAGCAGGCTCAGGG